CAAGAGTTGGACACTGTAGAAGGAAGTTACTGATGATCTAGATCAGTGGTTCTGAGCCACGACCCCCAAGATAACATAAGTTTGCGTTTGTGACCTCCCCAATTAGAATTTTTAATATGGCATGAGTAATAACTTTGTTGTTTATGCATTAATGTGTTAAAGATTAATGTGTTAATTCCACAGATTAATCTCTTTACATTAACACATTGATTTTCTTTCAAATGAATGAATGAATTGAATTTATTTTGAAAAAATGAAAGGGAAAAAAAATATAAAAGCAAAAGAAAATTATTTTAAAAAGAGCACAAAAGAATATCACATAATCAAATCATAATATTAAAAGTTTGAAAAAAGAGTGGGAACAAGTATACACTTTTACTTTTGACAGCCCTAATACACATTTATTTGATAAATGTCGGCTTTATTTTATTTTTATTTTTTTACAATGATCTGGTGACCCCCTGAGATGATCTTGGGATCCTCATTGGGGGGGGTCCCAAGATTGAATTTTGTAATTTGAGTAAAAAGCAACACAAACACCACTTACTTGATCTCCTTTGTGTTGCGTCAAATGAAACCAGCCTGACGTCTACAATTTGCTTTACCACCGCTGGAGTTATGTACCTCATCAAGTGTCCTTTTGATAAATCATATATCGCCTCTGACGGTCAGCTTATTGAAAACTACAATGATGGGAACATAGTTTTGCTATTGGAAATACACAGTCCAGTTCGGCTTTATTTTGCACATATGAAGTATCCTCTGAGCTTTCTCTGTTCTAGTCTTGCCGGATGAAGTCAAATTTCCAGACGAGGACAGGGCTGCTTGAAAAGTGGCCCTCTGAAAGGTGAAGCATACTGGATAACTCGGATAGAGTCTGACACTTAGGACCTGTATCTGTGGGCCTTCCTGTGCAGTGTCCCGTCAAACTAACTTAACCTTCTGTTAAACACCAAAAACAAAAGGAATTACAAAGATTTATTTACATTGTAGTAACTCATTGAGACCTTTTTGCTTCTGTGGGACTTGTATGCATTTTCATAAATCCAAGTTGATGGGATCTGTACTTTGATTTGGGCCACGTCCAGTGATGCTGACTTTGTCTTGGAAAGGTTGTGTGTGTTCGCAGAATTGAGTGTATGGAACACACCTCGAACACAACTGCAGTCTATTATGCAACTATGAGCAGCATTATGGGCTTTATTTAAGCACTGTGTCATGTTATGATCGACTGTTTTCACAACCAAAACCATTTAATAAATCAATGCAGAGGTGATACAAGTGT